CCATGTTGTCTATTAAGACCTGTACTGCCCTGAGTTCCCTGACATTTCTATGCTGGGAGAGTTCTTCCTGAGACCCTGAGTCTTCACACTGCCGAGGTGGGCTCCTCACCTCAGCTCTGAGATGTCCTAAACAAAGGTCACCAACTGCTATGGGGAGGCAAAGGATATCCTTTAATTAGAAACTGGATCTCTGCACCCGGTCAGTGAAGCCAGGTGAGCGGTAGAATTGTGAGTACAGGGTCTAAGTGGTGTCTGTTTGGGGAGTAGACGGCCACCAGTCATGCATGTAGGGGTCTAAGATGTAACTGTGTGCATTACTCCACATAGGTACATGCCCCCATGTGACCCAACAGTCTGAGGCAAACCCAGAGGTTTTAAGAGAGCGGGCTGCAGATCTGGTCTGGCATAGTTTGGAATCTGGTCTTTGGCAAACAGGACTTGGTGGAATCAAGCACCGTCTTGATGAACTTTTATCCTCTGAACTGGAAACAAAGTTGTATCTAATTTTTTAAAAAAAACAGCACCTGAAAACTGGCCCATAATATTCCAGTACTATGCTGGGCTTGAGCCTGAAAGAAGTCTTTGATGAGCCAAATATCAAGGTGCGGTCAGACTCTTATGCCGTGACACCTGAGGAATGCCACAATGATATGAAAACCTATGGGGCTGCCAACTGGCTGAGGGGAAGTACATTACTGGTGTTGGTCCATCACAAGCCTGATGTATCTCCTGTGTCCGCAGAAGATGGAGATGTGGACATTAAGGCCGCATACGTCTCCTGGAGGCAGGGAAAGAATGGGAGGCCAGAGAGACCATGAAAACCTGTTTTCTGAGGTATTTGTCAATGTGGCACAGGTCCAGAATGGGCTGTAAACACCCTGTCCTCTCCCTTGGCCTTCAGAATTAGGAAACATTGGGGATAAAAAGTCTTGAGGAACCTCAATGACCCCTCCATACAGGAGGGCATGTACTTTCTGGACAAAAATCAGCTTGCGAGAAGGGTCCCTGAAGAGGGACAGGGGAAGGAGGCAGGGAGGGAATGCAAGAGGGAGGTCATCTTCAGGGTCAGGGGGACATCAGGTCCTTTGACACCTGAAAAACCTTTGGAGTCAAAGGGGCCCACAGGCTTGAGGTCCCATGATTGCTCCTGGGAGCCAGAGGTGGGTCCCGACCTGGACGCTGCATTCAAAGCAGAGTTGCCGGAGCCAACAGTGGCTCTGGGGAGGACTAGTGGCATGGCGTGGATCTCCCGGCAGCAGCCACACCCAACTTGTACCTCTTCAGCACTGCAGAGCGCCCGGTCTTGGCATGTTCTTTCTTCCTCGGCCCTGGGGATGGAGAGGCATGACAAAGTGCTCCATGCTGATTTGGAGCAGCTCAACTCGGAGGCCGGTCTCAGTGAGGAAGGCCTTCAGACGAAGAGCTCTACGTTTCTGAATGCGCAGTCTGAAGCTTCTGAAGATCTGGCACTTCTCCTGAACCCGCGTTTCCCAAGGCACTCGGGACAGCTACACTACGGGTCGCTCACTGGAAAGGGCTTGCTGCAGGAAGAGCACGGCTTGAAGACTGAGGCATGCCCAACCGCTGGGATAAAAGTCCCACAACGAGGAGGAACCACTATTCACACTAAGAACTACAGACATTCACTACAATAACTATATAATATACTACAAATCCCAAACCACCACTGGGAAAGAAGCCTTACAAGAGCAAAAGGGACTGTTCCAAGCCACCATCACGGGTGGTCAGAAGGAACTGAGCAGCCTGTCCTACAACTACCACTACAGGAAAAATCTTCAACTCTACAAATGGCGCACACACTTAGCAAGGATTGGACACGAGTAAGCACTTGAAGAAGAAACTCTGTTACAATTCTACCACCAGCGGTGCTCCTCAGAATTTCTAAACCAGGAACCAAAAAAGGTATGTACATACTCGGGGCAGCGTATTTCCATGTTGGGCCCATGCTTCTGCTTCACTGCCCAACTATGATACCCCCCTTTGGGACATGACAATTAAGGACCTTTAAGCACTACCACAATTCCCCATACAAAACCCACAAAAACAAACAGCCTTCAAGCCAACGAGCATCAGTATATTTCCCTTACAAAAGCACTGAGCCAGATCCTGAGAGTTTGGAAGGGTTTTCTTCAGAATTGTCCCCTACGAACCTGAGAATTAAGCCCTTTAGCAATGTTCAGTGCCAGCACATTCATTAGCACCTTCCCACTTCCAAGAACATGAGGGCGAGTACTGGACTTCCAGCCAAAGTACTGATTATGGATGGGTTCCCCCACGCATCTTTCATACTAACCTCTAGCTAGTAGGTTTAGTCCTCTGATGGTAAGCATTTGGTAAATTGTACAAGCCCTACTATACCTACGAACCTCAACCCATCAAAGTGATTTCCCCTGGTCTCCTATTCATGTCCGCAGTTCCTTTTAACTGACTTCTCATGTATGCTTTTAACTCTGACTTCTGTATTCTCTAAAGCAGGGGATGGGGAAACCTACAGCCCAGAGGCCAGATGGAGCTTGCCTGAATCCAGCCCGAGGCTCGTGGCTCCCCCCAGCATTGGGGAGCTGGTGCTCCAGCCCTGCGACCCCCCTCGCACCCAGACCCTGCACTCCTGGCCCACTTCTGCACCTCCCTCCTGCCCAGACCCCACACCACACTCCTGCTTCCTGGCAGCCCCTCCCACACACTGAACTCCTCATTTTGGCCCCACCCCAGAGTGTATGGGGGAGCCCACAAAATCCACAAAAGCCTGGCTCCCCCAGGTTCTGGTGTATGAGGAGAACGTGGGATTTCGTTGTTTATTTTATTTGCTTCTCACTTTTGTGTGGCCCCCGACTGATTTTTCTGTGGGTCAGCGGAAACTCAAACCGAAAAAGTTTCCCTACCCCTGCTCTGAAATGAGACCTGGACTACAGAGTTAAAGGCTGACTTCAGTTACGTCAATGATCAGCAACCACTGCAATTACATTGCTTGTACATGTTCACACACAGCTTCTGTTGTCGGCGGAGCAAGTCCACAGGTGACATATAGCACCGGCTGAGCAGTGTACTGCGTGTAGCTATTTTACTGTGCACACAGCCTCCTTTTGCTAGGAATTTTGAGAACGGATCGCAGTGCCTCATGGAGGTGTGACCACCACTCTTTATGACGCCATTTTCTCCATCTTCATTCCAAGGGCTTTTGATTGCATTTTGTGCTGTTTTTCAACTGCCCCTGTGAACTTTGCGCCTGCCATCTCTTCCTGAAAGCACGGACTCTGCACTGCTCCCTCGTCTTGTGGTGTGATCAACACAAAGTAGCTAATCCTGCAGTATCGCATGAGTCGTGAAACCGAACAAAGATCCTTGCTGCCTCCTTTGCTGTGTGCTGTGGAAAAAACAATTCAAGAGCCATGTTGGCATTCAGAGAGCATCTGCACACGACTGAGCGTCCCTGTTGAAGCAAGCACCAAGTGATTGGGATCGGACTGTGATACGGGTATAGAACGACGAGGAACGGCAACCAAAGTTCTGTATGTGCAAAGCCACTTTCCTTCAACTGTGAGAGCTCACACCCCTCCCTGCCTTGTGGAGCAAGGACACCAAAATGCAAGCTGCCCTCACTGTGAAGTAGCAAGGGGAAGCTGGCCATTCAGTCAGTCAGGAACCCGTTTGGAGTTGGGAAGTCCACCGTGAGGGTTGCAGTGATGCTGGTGTGCAGGGCCATTCGCTGCCTCCTGCTATGAAGGACGGCAGCTCAGGGCAACATGCTGGAAACAGCAGATGGCTATATGGCAATGGGATTTCCTAACCACAACAGGGCGATAGATAGCAGACATTTCCCAATATTGGCCCCAGACCATCTTGCAACAGAGTTCATCAACAAAGAGCTACTTCTCTATGGTGCTGCAGGCACGGCTGGGTCAGCAGTGTCATTTCACTGAAATCAATGCAGCATAGTCAGGGAAGGTGCACGGCGCATGCTTCTTCAGGATCACTGACCTGTATAGAAAACTGCATGCAGGGACTTTCTTTCCAGGCCAGAAGATTCAAATTGGGAATGAGGAGACCAAACCTACCCCTTACCCGCATGTGGCATGAGCCCACACACGGGGAACTTCGACAGCAGCAAGGAGTGCTTCAACAACAGGGCTGGCAGGGGCAGAATGACAGTATTTATTTTTGGTTCTGGACATCCAACACTCTGGTCATCTGAAGTGGGCAGTGTCCACGAAAGCTCAGGATGCCACCTACATGTTTTGTTAGTCTTTAAAGTGCTACCAGACTATGTGCTGTTGTTTACGTTTTTCCTGTTACAGGCTCCTCCCCTGAAGCGGTAGAAAGTGTGTATGGCAAACTAAAGGGTTGCTGATGCTGCCTTTTTGGCAGGTTACACGGCAATGAGAAAATATTCCCCGGGTTATAGCACTTTGCTGTGCCCTGCATAACATTTGTGAAGCCAAGGGGAAAAGTTCCAGGGTGGAGTGAGGTGTTTCACCCTGTGGCTGACTGCAAGCCAGACACCAGGGCTATTAAAGAAGTTTAATGGGGGACCTAATCAAACCAGGAAGGCTTCAAAGCAGCATTTTGACAATGAGCCCCAGTAGCGCACTGAGCCAAGCCACTTGGAATGATCCCTCCAATGATTCCTGCCTGAGCATTAACTGTAGAGTGCAAAAGTGCTGATCGCCACTGTATATGAATTTCTGTTCTAATCACTCTGTGTAGCTCCCACAGAAAGAATCGTTGTCGTGGTAAGACTATATTTTTATTAAGCAGCAATACACAGATTAACATCTCTTACAAGGAACAAGAGAGTGGGAAACGCTTTCTGAAGTGAGGACCTCATTGCTGAATGGGAGTGTAGCTGTCATGATGGGAACTGGGGAGGAGGGCAAGGGATCCTGCGTGTGTGGAGTTTGGGGAAGGCAAAGAAGGAAGTTCTGGCTAACCTGCAGGATGAGAAGAGTACACTGTGGCGGAACACATATGAAATCAAGTACCTCAGTCCTTCTGTTGGGTCCTCTATGAAGTTTATTATCTGTTCCTAATCCTGTCTCCTCTCCTGGCAGTCCATTTCTAATTTCTCGTTTATTGTCTCTCTCCATGCTCTATGCTCACTATCAGCCTGATCTGACAATTGCAGCACTTTGCTCAACACGTCCTCCTTACTCCTCCTTTTCTGACGGAGGCACTCTGCTGGTGTGTAGGAGCTGCCCCTTGAGGGCATGTCTGCAGAAGCAAAAGAAACAATACACAGAGTCAGTATTGTCACCGTCTTGTATCATAAGACACATGCATCTTTCTCAGTTTCTCTTGGAAATCATACAGCACAGCCTGCTGGTACAAGATGGGACAAGGGTCTGGGTGGTCTCAGAAGGCTCTCAGTACAAGCACTTTGGGACACTATTGTGAATACGGGCACTGTTCTCCATACGTGGGGACAATCAAAGCTGAAATCGTACTACTGAGGAGAACTGAAAATGCAGAAGCGTACCCCCTGCATGAGTGTGGCTTCAGACTGAGTCTGTATGCCGCTGGCCTTTGTGCTGCTTTGGCTACTCCAGAAGTAACTGCCAAATGGCATGCCAAAGTTCCTACAATGGGAGAAGAAACAAAGCAACTCTTCCAAGGACCCTTCAGCAGAGCATCTACAGAACAGTTTCCTAGAGATCTCTATAGAGAGGATTCCTGAGAGATATCGGTGTGCATTAACTAACATGTTCACAGGCCTCCCACTATGTAGCTGCACAGGCGAATGCAAAGCAGATACACACAGTACCTAGTGTTAATTTCAATCCCTTCTCCCACATGCATCACGTAACAAAATAAAGGGTGGCTCTACCTCACCTAGCCATGCACGATGAGAGAAAATGGACACTTACCAGAGCTCCTCTCCCATGCTCCAGGCACACCAGAGCTGAACTGCTGGAACGGGCTAGAACCTCTGAAGTTACAAAAAGGTCCTGACTCACCAGGCCGCGAGAGGAGCCTCTCTCCTATCTCATATTCTCGAATTCCACAATAATCACGTCACCCTTTGGGCCATTAGCTCAAATCACCCTGAAGTATCTGTGGCGCTCTGGCAGTAGCAGGGGGGGGCGAGTCGCCACCGAGGATGGCATTCGGGTTCTTGGAGACACAATATGTTTTTGGCACCGAACTGTCTCCCCACCCTCAGGGCTGCTTAGTGGAAAAGTCACAATGGTCATTGTTGGACATCTCCTGAAGGTCACGTGGGGCAACATAAGCAAAAGTGTTTTCTACATACTGTGTTGATCTCACTTTGCCATACAAAGCTCTACGCAGCTTGTCAAGGTGGCTTTGTTACATTGGCTAGCAGGAGACTAAAACCAGTGGGGGGAGCACTGCCAACAACTGTACTGTTGACACAAGTGTGTAGTGTAGAGAAGGCCTAATGCTTTGGTATCTTCCCAAGTTACCATATGTTTTTCAAGAGTTTCCAGTGGTATAGCAAGTTTATTAGGTAATACTCTTAATAACCAAAGCTAATAGTCTTCTGAGTGGATTAGTTTGTATATGTTCAGATTATCGAATTATAGATACAATATGATGGGAACTAATTTAGCTACAACTACTCAAGAGACAGATCTTGGAATCACTGTGGATAGTTCTCTAAAAACATCCACTCGGTGTGCAGCGGTAGTCAAAAAAAGCAAACAATGTTAGGAATCATTAAAAAAGGAATAGAGAATAAGACAGAGAATATCTTATTGCCGCTATATAAGACCGTGGTACACCCACATTTTGAATACTGCGTACAGATGTAGTCACCTCATCTCAAAAAAGATATATTGGCATTGGAAAAGGTTTAGAAAAGGGCAAAATGAATAGGGGTTTGGAATGGGTCCCATATCAAGAGAAATTAAAGACTTAGTCTCCTCTTTTCTAAGCTGAAAAGTCCAAGTGGGAGAGGACAGAGGTCTATAAAATCATGATTGGTGTGGAGAAAGTGAATAAGGAAAAGTTATTTGCTTGCTCCCATAACATAAGAACTAGGGGTCACCCAATGAAATGAATAGGTAGCAGCTTTCAGACAAACAAAAGGAAGTTTTTCTTCACTCGGTGCATAGTCAACCTGTGGAAAGATGTGGTGAAGGCTAGGACTTTAATAGGGTTCGAAAAAGAGTTAGATAGATTCGTGGAGGTTAGGTCCATCAATGGCTATTAGCCAGGATGGGTAGGAATGGCGTCCCTAGCCTCTGTCTGTCTGGGAATGGCTGACAGGGGAGGGATCATTTGAGGATTCCGGGTTCTGTTCACTGCCTCTAGGGCATCTGGCATTGGCCGCTGTCGGCAGACAGGACACTGGGCTAGATGGACCTTTGGTCTGACCCAGTCTGGCCATTCGTATGTTATTGTTTTACCTGCATGGCATCCAGGAGGAGTGTCCATTTTAAATGTGGCAGAAGAGAATGTTTCCCTACCCAGGGTGGTCATAAGAATTTCTCTTACTCCGACCTAATTATTATGTTAGTTTACACACTACAGTACAGATTTGCTTCTGCTGATGTAGGCACCCTACTAAATCAACATAACTCCACCAAAACAAGAGGCGTAGGGCTTATGTTGATGTAGTTATGGCAACATAGTGTCCATGTAGACACTTCATTACCTACATAGGCTATCATTCACAGCTGGAGCTATGAAACTGACAAGAAAGCAACAGAGAGCAACATGTGGAGCTAAGAACCCAATCTCTCAACTCCCTATATTGCCCCTATTAAGTTGGTAGAAGTGCTCCTGCTGAGGTCATACACCATGGACAGAAGGAGGGTAGTGTGACATGAACCACTACAGTAATTACTTGCACTGGTTGTAAGTCGGCCTTACATAGGTTGCCTTATATTTCTAGTGCAGACATGCCCTCAGTCTCCGAGATTCAATGTCAACGGAGTTTTCTTGCCCAAAAGAGGAACTAACCTGTCCTACTGGTTACATGCACAAGATTTCCCCGTGTCAGTTACAAATTCCTCCAAACACCTAGCAGAGAGATTACATCTTAGTCAATTTCCAACCATTAAATTTAAGCGTGATAACCCAAAGTCTCTCCTGGAATTTACAAGCTTTGTGTCCATGTCAGTGGATACCGATGTTTCCAGGAATTGCAGCTATTTTGTTCTACAGAGCTTATAAATACCATGCAGAGCATCTGTGGAGCTTGCCAATGCAGATGGCAGACCCTTCTTTTGAGGTACTGAAGAAGTAGAGACTTTCACACTATGCCTCCATATTCTAAATGACTTTTGCATGAATAAAAAGCTTCCATGTCCCAACTGATTAGAAGCAGTCTTATGAACTAGTTCCCACGGAGGTCTGCAGTGTGGAAGTAGCTCAAGTTCCTTAATCCAGGCTCTTTATTAAGTAGGCGAAAACACAAAACTTTTCAAAAAGTGCACAATAATTACGACTAGTCCTCAGTTTTTAACTGCTGGGCCTCCGCAACTTGTACTCTGCACTCTCCTATCTTACTGCCTCCCCTCCTTGCGGCCACTCCTCACGACCAGTGATTCAGCCTCCAATAGTCCACTTCTCCCCAACACCTTTACGCGTTTTCATGCCGCACTTCACACAGTGATGCCCTTCATCTGATATTAACCTTGGATTCAACTCTTCATCTGCTGTAATTTAACAGGAGTTGATTAATATTTACCCAGTGAACTGAATGTGTAAAGCACCAGTGATTTGTTATTAAGGCTTGTGCAACTATTGTCCATTGTGTTATTTATACTGCAGGCTCCACAGTGGGACCCGTTGCATTAGGCTCTATACACACTTGTTAAAAAAACAAAAAACACAGTCGTGCCTTAGGAAGCGTAACATCTTTATATATGATGAGAGTGTAAATGAATGGAAAGGAATGATTATCTACTAATTAGGGTGCCATTCTGAGACTGGGAAGAACTTGTGCGCTGTTGCCTGCTCTGCCACAGACTTCCTCTGTGGTCTTGAGAAGTCACTTTGTCTCATTCTCCCGCCTGCAAAACGGGGAAAACAGCACTTCTCTACTACATGGGGCATGTTGAAGATAAATACATTAAGGATTGTGAGGTGCTTACATCTCAGATAAGCACCTAACCTAGACAGGTACAAGTGGTCAAGAAGGCGAACAAGATGACAATGAAATAGAATAAGCAGCAGAAGCCCTCATACATTCACTGCCGAATCACACTGGATTCTAAACTATTGTAAGACATATTGAGGCCATGAAAGGAACCCCACATTTGGGACTTTTATCTACCCTAGTTCAGTAGCTCCAAAAATATGTACCGATAAGAAGAGGAATGGGATCATTTGTCTTTTCTCTCTCCTATTTGCACAATTCTATACACTCATCATCTGAGCATGTGCTGAGAGACTGTTATATTATGCAGCTCCTCATAGAAGTGTTTTGAGGACTACTGAAATACATGCATAGCACTATACATTTCCAAAGTTTTATTATGAATACGACATATTAACAAGCTGATTATTTTAAACGTTTCGCTCGAAGAAAAAAAAACAGTGTATGAATATGAAAACTAACAATCTACAGTCTCTGGGAAACACAGCATACATCTTTCTGAAGGTAAGTCAGTGACAATATTACAAAACAGAGACAGAAAGAATCTCTCTAGCCATTTCTCCTAGGAAAGCTCAGCTCAAAAGGAAAGAGCTAGATGTCATTGAGGTCTTGGTGTTTATACCCATTTTTCCAGCTGACTTGACTGTTGTACAGCTGACTCATATCTCAAATACCTTGTCTTATTATAGTGGCCTTTTCTGGCACCAGTCTAGCTAAGGTAGTTTCCAATATAAAACATCTGTACAGGTTTATAACTTGGCTCTAAAAATTCTACTCCAAGAGACTGTGGGCGGTAGGGAGGGTCAAATGAGCTCATTATATTACACTCTTTACATGATACAATACCGAGGCACAATGGCACACGAAGGGCAAGGGACAGTTTTAACTCTGAATTATCTTGCTGTCACCAGTCACTTAAAATGATATTTAGTTTTCTTGTTAATGCAATAAAAAGACATTTCAGCTAATTAGCAGCTTTAAATTATCTGACTTCACAATTCAATTTAAAACATAGAGTTCTATGTAAACAAGAATGGGAACAAAATTCTTCTCCCGATTATATTTATATACACGTTAAACCTAAAAAAAAAAATCTTTCTGTCTCTTAGCCAATTTTACCTAGTTTTTGAAAGGCTCGGCTTTAAAG